CTTTTGAGTAGGCGACGACCGATTATCGGTGCCGATATTAAGCATTTTTATGGTTATCGGTATCGGCCATTTTCAAAACCGATTTGCCGATAAAATAATTATTATTATAATTGGCTTTTCAGTTTATGTAATGCTTATAATCTTAATGATTATTCTCATAACGGTTTTGCATTTTTATCAAATTAGTATTATTGGCACTGGCATAACATAAATACCAATACGTTTACGTATTTTACAATTAAAATTTATATGTCGAATTTTTGCATTCCAGCAACGTGAATTTGAAGGAAAAAATGTTTAGTTGACATAAAACAATATCACAATGCAAAACTTTTAATGCTCCATTTCTTTATGCAACTTAAATGTTCTTATTTTCTGCTGTGGTGAAATACCTGGACATGATCTTTCAATTCTGAAAGCACATGCACAAACACACCCAAGGACATCTGAGTGCTCCTATTGATTAGTGATCAATATCAATTGATGCTAATAATGTTTGTTGATTAAAGCTGCTGCAGGCTTTATTTGTTGAGTAGCACACCATGCATCAATGTTATATTTTTTATAATATAGTTGGCTATAGGTGACAGCGGTCCGTGTTCAGCAAAAGCTTTTATGAAATTGTGTGTTGGCTTGATATGGCAGCTTGTTTCCGCCACAGAAATAAAAATAAAAAGGTAATTGCGACTTTTTAATCTCACAATTCTGACTTTTTGTCTTGCATTTGCAGGTTTAGATCTCACAATTTGGACTTTGCAATTCACAATTCTGAGTTTATATCTGACAATTTTAAGAAAAACAATCATTCGGAGTTATAAACTTGGAAATCGGAGATTAAAAATGCCAGAATACCATGTTTATATCTTATAATTCTGCGAAAAAGTAATCGCAAGTTAAGAAATTGGATTTGCAAGGTTAAAAAAAGTCTAAAATTCCAAGTTTATATCTGAATTTCCAATCACTTTTTTTTTTTTTTTACTTTCTGGCATAAACAAGCTTCCATGGTTTGGTGACAAATCAATCACAATAAGGAACGAACATGAATTAAGAGAGTAAAGGGTACTGTAGATCTGTTTGGAGGTTGAGATTAGTTTAACATGAGTGGTTTCTCTGGGTCTGAATGAGTATCTGCTGGAGTAGAGAGACACAGAGTCTGTCAGGAAGACGAACGAGAGGATATTATGCGGTTCAGTCACAGACACACAGCGAGAGAAATGAAGGACTGGAACGCTGCCAGAACAGCATCAGCTTCTCTCTGTTCATGCCAAGTGTGTTGAGTTGGTTTGTTTCAGTGTTTTGTCCTCACAAACCAAACAGACAGTTTCATTTACAGTTTTCAAATAATGAGACAAAACCTTTCAAATACAAATTTGTTGACATTCACACGCTTTACTTTAAACTTATGAAATAGTTTCTGCCTTTGTTTTAAACACTAGATCTATTATTTTATCATTTATACCCAACAAACTGTATTTTGTCAAGTGCTTTACTTGTAAATTTAGCGTTGTTAATGTTATTAACAACGATTAGTAAATGCTGTAAAAAATCTATTGCTTTTTGTTAGTTCACGATTATATCAACTTTCGATAACATTTTAAAAGGTTTCATGTTATTGTTAAGTGTTATAAATGCCTCTTTCTTTGAGATGGTCCTCACTGCAGAACATGAAATCCACGAGGAGGAGTCGGATCCAGATCCAACTCCTCCCACCTTACATATACCTACCCATCTCTGCCCCCTGATCCCTAAACCCACCCCTAAACTTATCCAGCTCCACCCCCTGATCTCTAAACCCACCCCTAAACCTACCCAGCTCCACCCCTGATCCCTAAACCCACCCCTAAACCTACCCATCTCCACCCCCTGACCCCTAAACCTACCCAACTCCTCCCCCTGATCCCTAAACCTATCTCTAAACCTACCCAGGTCCACCCACTGATCCCTAAACCTACCCAGCTCCACCCCTGATCCCTAAACCCACCCCTAAACCTACCCATCTCCACCCCCTGACCCCTAAACCTACCCAACTCCACCCACTGATCCCTAAACCTACCTAGCTCCACCCTCTGATCCCTAAACCCACCCCTAAACCTACCCAGCTCCACCCCCTGATCCCTAAACCTACCGAATTCCATCCCTGATCCCTAAACCTACCTCTAAACCTACCCAACTCAACCCCCTGATCCCTAAACCTACCTCTAAACCTACCGAACTCCACCCCTGATCCCTAAACCTACCTCTAAACCTACCCAACTCAACCCCCTGATCCTAAACCTACCCAGCTCCAACTCCTGATCCCTAAACCTACCTCTAAACCTACCCAGTTCAACCCTCTGATCCCTAAACCCACCCCTAAACCTACACAGTTCAACCCTCTGATCCCTAAACCTACCCATCTCCACCCCTGATCCCTAAACCCACCCTAAACCTACCCAACTCCACCCCCTGACCCCTAAACCTACCCAACTCCACCGCCTGATCTCTAAACCTACCTCTAAACCTACCCAGGTCCACCCACTGATCCCTAAACCTACCCAGCTCCACCCCTGACCCCTAAACCCACCCCTAAACCTACCCATCTCCACCCCCTGACCCCTAAACCTACCCAACTCCACCCCTGATCCCTAAACCTACCCCTAAACCTACCCATCTCCACCCCTGACCCCTAAACCTACCCAACTCCACCCACTGATCCCTAAACCTACCTAGCTCCACCCTCTGATCCCTAAACCCACCCCTAAACCTACCCAGCTCCACCCTCTGATCCCTAAACCCACCCCTAAACCTACCCATCTCCACCCCTGACCCCTAAACCTACCCAACTCCACCGCCTGATCCCTAAACCCACCCCTAAACCTACCCAGCTCCACCCCTGATCCCTAAACCCACCCCTAAACCTACCCATCTCCACCCCTGATGCCTAAACCTACCCATCTCCACCCCCTGACCCCTAAACCTACCCAACTTCACCGCCTGATCCCTAAACCTACCTCTAAACCTACCCATCTCCACCCCCTGACCCCTAAACCTACCCATCTCCACCCCCTGACCCCTAAACCTACCCAACTCCACCCACTGATCCCTAAACCTACCTAGCTCCACCCTCTGATCCCTAAACCCACCCCTAAACCTACCCAGCTCCACCCTCTGATCCCTAAACCCACCCCTAAACCTACCCATCTCCACCCCCTGACCCCTAAACCTACCCAACTCCACCGCCTGATCCCTAAACCCACCCCTAAACCTACCCAGCTCCACCCCTGATCCCTAAACCCACCCCTAAACCTACCCATCTCCACCCCCTGATCCCTAAACCTACCCAACTCCACCGCCTGATCCCTAAACCTACCTCTAAACCTACCCATCTCCACCCCCTGACCCCTAAACCTACCCATCTCCACCCCCTGACCCCTAAACCTACCCAACTCCACCCACTGATCCCTAAACCTACCTAGCTCCACCCTCTGATCCCTAAACCCACCCCTAAACCTACCCAGCTCAACCCCCTGATCCCTAAACCTACCGAACTCCACCCCTGATCCCTAAACCTACCTCTAAACCTACCCAACTCAACCCCCTGATCCCTAAACCTACCTCTAAACCTACCGAACTCCACCCCTGATCCCTAAACCTACCTCTAAACCTACCCAACTCAACCCTCTGATCCCTAAACCTACCCAGTTCAACCCTCTGATCCCTAAACCTACCCAGCTCCACCCCTGATCCCTAAACCCACCCCTAAACCTACCCATCTCCACCCCTGACCCCTAAACCTACCCAACTCCACCGCCTGATCCCTAAACCTACCTCTAAACCTACCCAGGTCCACCCACTGATCCCTAAACCTACCCAGCTCCACCCCTGATCCCTAAACCCACCCCTAAACCTACCCATCTCCACCCCTGACCCCTAAACCTACCCAACTCCACCCCTGATCCCTAAACCTACCCATCTCCACCCCCTGACCCCTAAACCTACCCAACTCCACCCACTGATCCCTAAACCTACCTAGCTCCACCCTCTGATCCCTAAACCCACCCCTAAACCTACCCATCTCCACCCCTGACCCCTAAACCTACCAACTCCACCGCCTGATCCCTAAACCCACCCCTAAACCTACCCAGCTCCACCCCTGATCCCTAAACCCACCCCTAAACCTACCCATCTCCACCCCCTGATCCCTAAACCTACCCAACTCCACCGCCTGATCCCTAAACCTACCTCTAAACCTACCCATCTCCACCCCCTGACCCCTAAACCTACCCATCTCCACCCCTGACCCCTAAACCTACCTAGCTCCACCCTCTGATCCCTAAACCCACCCCTAAACCTACCCAGCTCCACCCCCTGATCCCTAAACCTACCTAGCTCCACCCTCTGATCCCTAAACCTACCCAGCTCCACCCCCTGATCCCTAAACCTACCGAACTCCACCCCTGATTCCTAAACCTACCTCTAAACCTACCCAACTCAACCCCCTGATCCCTAACCTACCCAGCTCCAACTCCTGATCCCTAAACCTACCTCTAAACCTACCCAGTTCAACCCTCTGATCCCTAAACACACCCCTAAACCTACCCAGTTCAACCCTCTGATCCCTAAACCTACCCAGCTCCACCCCCTGATCCCTAAACCCACCCCTAAACCTACCCAACTCCACCCCGATCCCTAAACTTACCTCTAAACCTACCCAGCTCCACCCCCTGATCCCTAAACCCACCCCCTGATCCCTAAACTTACCTCTAAACCTACCCAGCTCCACCCCCTGATCCCTAAACCTACCCAACTCCACCCCTCAGATCTGGATCCGACTCCGCCCCCTGGATCTCGTGTACTGCAATGAGGTGCTACTGCTTTCTTTGGCTAAATTCTTGTGTTTTGAATGTAATGTAATGCCATTATAAGTGTGTCTGGGATAGTGTGTTTATTTCAAGCTCCTGACTGATCTCTGTCTTCTCTCTGTGTGTTTCTCCGTCTCCATCTCGTCATCTTCGTCCCAGAAGGATCTTCCTCTGCCCCGTAAGAACAGCAGGTGAGCCCCATCTTCAATGATAAGAAGAAGATACATGATTATTATGCATCTTTTTATTCGGATCACATGTATCTGTGTTTGTGTTGAAAACCCCATAACAATTGAGTAACTTCAGTCCCTTGTTTACATCCAGAGTTGCGAATTTAACTTGTGTGCAAATAAAACAACAGTTGTTACTTCCAGGGAAATTGGTGCAAAATATCTGTAATAAAAATAGAAGTTGCTGCTTTTTTTTCTCTCTCCTTTTTTTTTGCGCTCGGTTTTGGGAATGCGATTATGTGAGGCTCTTCTTCGGGGGAATTATTAAACCAATTCAATCTGATGACAAACTTTGAGATATTTGAGATGCTGTGCAGTGCGATTGGTCCACTGGTTTGTCCAGTTATCCAATCACATGATGGGATGACTTTTCCAATTGGTGATTGGCTCTTTTTTTTAGAAGGCGGGACTTATTCCGCCATTCATAGTAATACGAGTGAGGTGTTTAGTGTATATAGTCTTTGGATTTATTCATTAGATGTGTTATCATGATCATTAGATGTGTTATCATGTAAAATGATCCCTTATGAAATTTTTTTATGCCTTTTTATGCAAATTTGTATGGAAATAGTCAGGTTATTATCGCATAAAACAACACTGGATGGAAACATAACTGTATATTGGTTTATTAAAGGTTACCATGATCATTTTCATGAGGGTTTATTTGTGTGCAAACTCAACCTGTCTTACTTTGTCTCTCTCTCACTCTGTCCATTTCTTTAAAAGCTTTCCTTGTTCACTTGGACTTTTATTATTTTTTTGTGATTCTTACTTGTACCATCCACCGTGACCTCCGGGAAAAAGCACATTGCACTTAAATTTAGAAGCACACACACACACACACACACACACTCATTAGCATCTTATGAACGGATGCACCGCACCTGCTCCCCCTCTTTTAACGCTCGTCTTGGTATCATCCGCTGCCCTCGAGATTTTACCCAGAATTCCCCCTTGCACTCTGTTTTCCAGTGTGTGAGCAAAGCCAGACGCTCTAACCGTTCTCCATCTGATGCTGTTTGTGATGCGCACTGGTTATTTCCGAGCGTCTGCGTCTGCTTTGAGCTCTTGATCATGCAGGGCGACATGTTTCGTCGCACTAAAAGGTGAAATGTTTTTAAAAATCTGTTTTATCTGCGATTGTACTGTCGCGCTGATGTCATTGTTTACCTGCATCTGTTGACACACTAACTGAATGACCTCATTAATGCAGTGAGTTTAAAATGTTAGTTAATGCTGTGATAAATGCGTCCGATTTAATATGCTATTTTCATGCAAATAGCATATATTTTATCGTGTTTCATATCTGAGCTGCAAATTATGTTGTTTGACTCAAAATGAACAGTATTTTACTCTGTTGAGGCTGGTGTTATTAGTCACAAAGGCCTGCAATTTTTTTGAATACTTGTTGATCATTTGAATTCATTTGTAAATCATTGAATCATTTGCTTGCGCTTTCTTACATCTTCTGAGGTTTTAGTCTTAAATCCTCCATGTTGATGCTGAATGTCCCAGTAAAGGTTGATGTCAGACCTCTTATGTTAATATTAGTAACCCTGTAAAGCTTGACATATGAAATAATAGTAATTTTTTGTACCTGTAAACACCCTGATAGCACACGTACATCACGGAGACGTCTATTTGATGAGTGTGTTTACATCTGGAAAACGTATTTTTTATAGTGTTTGCTCATCTGCAACACGCCTATAGGACGTCTCCTGTTAGATGTCAAATAGACGTTTAAAAGATGTAATGTTTAAAAGACGTCTTTAAGATGTAATGTTTTTTTTTTTTAGAATGTATGTTAAACTGATGTTAGTAAACAGCTGATGCTTTCCACATGAAGTGATCTTCAACAGATATCTTGCAGACGTACGTGTGCTATCTGGGAAAATGTTAAATAAAATATATCTAGGTGCACTGCAGGTGAGTAATTCTAAATTAGAATGCTGGAATTCTAAATTAGAATGTTTCACTCGAATATTTAAAACAATTCAAACCATATTGGAGTTCTAAAGATGTCAGTTGGGAGAAAATACTGTGAACAATAGATTTAAAAATCAACAGTCCACAAGAAACCCAACAAATAAATACAAATACAAACCAAAAAAACCCTATATATATATTTATATATATATATTAGGGCTGTGCAAAAATTAATTGCGGTGAATCGCATCCAAAATAAAAGTCTGTGTTTACATAATATATTTGTGTGTGCTGTATATAATTATTTTGTATATATAAATACCTATGCATGCATGTATATATTTAAGAATTATTTGCGATTAAATTCTATATATATATATATATATAAATACATAATCTATATTATATAAATATAAATATTTTATATATGAATAACACATTTTCTTAAATATGTATACATGCATGTTTGTGTATTTATATATACAAAATAATTATATACAGCACACACAAATTTATTATGTAAACACATACTTTTATTTTGGATGCGATTAATCGCAATTAATTTTTGCACAGCCCTTATATATATATATAAAACACACCTCAGTTTTATTCAGAGGCACAGAGCAAAAATATGCAATTTGATGCAGATAATAATAATATGGCCAGAAAGTAAGATGAAATTCTGATTGCAATGTAAATAAACAAGATCTGTATACATAAAATGCGTTTTAAAACATAATGCAATGCAATATGATGACGATTGACAGAATCCTTCCTCAGAATCGTGATGACCTGAACATGATTTTTTCTAAAAACAAATGTCTCGATAATCAAGTAAACCTTAGTGGCTTCACTAAGTAAGTGTACATCATGAAATATTACTAACAAATGAAAGTTTATTCTGACATTTACTTTATAAAAATCACTTAAGATTTCACAGCAAAAAACACATTGACCATGAATATTTTTTTTTTCCAATAATTATACAAGACCTTTTCTTTTTAACCAACCAGATGACAGAAGACATGTCTTAGATTGTGTGCAACAGGTTTGTCAGCAAAGTTTTGATCATGTTGATCATTTAGAGGCAACTTTGCATATCAAATATGACGCAGTGGGCTTCAGAGGATTAAAAAGTGCAGTGTCTCTTTAAGAACATTAACGTCTGTCTACACCTGTGTGTGTTTACTAGTACTGTATTAGGCAGCACTGTTTGACATGCCTTAACATCATTGATATAGTCTGTGATCAAATATCAAAGATCAGATCTCTGTTTGGGGGTTGTGTTGTATCAGCAGCTCCGTCAGACAGGCAGAGGGACACACTGCACCCTATGCGACTCTATTAGTCTGTTCATTCAGCATTTTTACAGCTGCTCTCTGCTCAATGTAGCTGAATTCAGCTTTTACTTTCCTTAATTGTGAGGACATTTGCTCCTCATAATGAAGATAAAACATGACACACACACACACAGTCAGTCTGTGTATGTCTGTAATAGTGTGTAATGGCTCATACACTCACTTAAGGCATATCAAGTATCTCGCGTTCACTCTCACTCCTCCATTAGCTTGCTTTTTCTCTCTCTCTCTCTCCCTCCATCTCTCTCTCTGAGTGCCTCTCTGTTTCTTCAGAGTGCCTGTACGCACAGACTGAGATTGATGACTGTTGAAATGGAATTTTATGTATCGCTGTTGTTCTACTGCAGGGCACAAATGCACTCACTCACTTACACACACACACACACACACACACACACACACACACACACACACACACACACACACACACACACACACACACAGTTGGGTATGGGGGTGGTGAAAGTAGCGAGGACTCAGGTGCAGAGTGATGGGCTTTTAATGATGATAATAAAAAAAAATAAAAATACAAACAAAACTAACCTGAGGTGGAAGACTTGACCTTGACCTTGACTTTGACTTTGACTTGACTTTGACACTACCATGACCTGACTTTGATTGTACTTTGACTTTGACTTGACTTGGACTTGACTTGACTTTGACTCTACCTTGACTTGACTTTGACTTGACTTGACTTGACTTTGACTCTACCTTGACTTGACTTTGACTTGACTTGACTTTGACTCTACCTTGACTTGACTTTGACTTGACTTGACTTGACTTTGACTCTACCTTGACTTGACTTTGACTTCACTTGACTCTACTTTGACTTGACTTTGACTCTACCTTGACTTGACTTTGACTTGACTTGACTCTACCTTGACTTGACTTTGACTTGACTTGACTTTGACTCTACCTTGACTTGACTTTGACTTTGACTTGACTTTGACTCTACTTTGACTTGACTTTGACTTGACTTGACTCTGCTTTGACTTGACTTTGACTCTACCTTGACTTGACTACTTTGACTTGACTTTGACTTTGACTTGACTTGACTCTACCTTGACTTGACTTTG